TTTCGTAAGTAGGGGCGTTCGTAAGTAGAGGTACCACTGTATCTATAAAAGTGCCTCTTTTATACCAGAGAAAAACAAATGGTTGTTCAACCTCAGCCTAAAGTAGGTCTATTGACATAAAATTACTCATTCCCGAAAGGACAACGTTGTGTGGTAAAGCACTAGCACAATGTTGTCAAGAAGAAACAAGAGAAAAGGAGAATCACAGATAAATAGAAGTTGGGTTCCAAGAAAGACAAACGAAAAATTAAATATAAGATCATTCCTCAAGGAGCTTGCCTGGACAATTTCTGCCAGACACTGGGATGTCCATGAATAATATAAGCTGCCGTTGCCTGACAGACTACCAAATGACAATCCAGTCCAAATTTTCAAGTTCTGCAAGTCATAAGAGGCACTGAAACTTTTCAATAAAGAATTGTGAGGCTAGATTTTTTTTTAAAAAAAAAGCAGTTGAAAGGGGTAAAATATCAAAGTGAGCCACGTTTGCTATTAAAAACAACATACCAAAAAGCAGATCTGATCACAAGAGCCCCAGTCCTACTCCTATAATCCTACAATGTACCTGTGGGCACTGAGCAGCGCTGTAACAGTCTCCAGCTGTGGCAAAAGGAACAGGCTTTCCAAATATGGTGTGAGCAAACTGGAACTCAGTAGCTAGTGAAAAATGTGAAATGCTGTTATTGGAAATGGAGCAGGTTTAATTAACTCAATTAGGACTGTGAGCGTACAGGACTCACCATTGTCCAAAAAATAACATTCTGCCACTAAACTGGAATTTTAAGGAAATGGAAGTTCTCAAAACATGGATGAAGTCCTACAATATTCAGCTCTGCTATGCAGACAGGTATTTTCATGGAAACCACAGCTAGAGAGAGAAGGGATAACCATCCCATTTCTATGTGCTGCAACACCACTGAGAATCAGCTCTTCCTCTTCCTTGGCAATTAAGCTCCCAACAGAGACTTTGTTTTATTCTAATTGCTACACAGAAAGGCTAATATTAGACACGCTGCAGCCAACAATGAATTCTGTGAGATGTATAGATGGACATTATTAAATGGAAGAGAGCTGGCTTTGCCCAATGGATGTGCAAAACCAGCAAAAGCCTTGCACAATCCATCTTATGCACCAAATGCACCCATTTCTGGATTGGGAGGCCCTACTCAGGATCATGCATGCTTTGGTCACCCCTTATCTGGATTAGTGCAATGCTGCCCTTGAAGACCACTCAGAAGCTATACCTGGTCTAGAAGGATGGGCTTGAATAGTTATAGATGCATCTCAGTATGCCCAAGTAGCACCACTGCTTTGTAAGCTGCATTGCTAACAGTGCACTTCTGGGTGAAATTCAAAGTGCTAATGGCTAGATGTAATGGGACAGGGACTGGTTATCTGTGGGACTGCATGCCTCCAATTACTGTTGCCCACCTGATAAGATCTGACAGGGTGGCTATGCTCCGGGTCCTATCTCTCAAGCAGTATCGTCTGGTAGGACCAGGAGACATGCCTACTCTTTCACTGTGCCTGTCCTATGGGACAGCATTGTGCCTAGATCCAGATGGCCCCAATCCTGCCTGCCTTTTGGAAGGTCCTGAAGACTTTGTTTTGTCTCCAGATGTTGAATTCTTTGATTGCTTTTGCTTATTTAATGGCGCCTCTAGTGGAATGTGCTTTTAATGTGCTTTTAATGTCTTTTTTATTTGCTTGTTTAAATTCTGTATGTCATCCTGAATCATGTATGTAATTTAAAAAGGAGAAAAGCTGTTCATTGCTCATGTGCTAAAATATAGGGAAGTATTGCTTTAAAATTGTTACAGTAGTTTATGAAAATTTGCAGAACTCACTTTTAATTTCTAAGGAATTGAGATCAATTCTTATTTTTCTAAAAATGGTGTAGCCAGCTGCAGGGTAGTCATTTCGGCAGGCGCAGTCTTGATGTCTACTCCCATTAAAAGGGCAGTCATATGGATTATGTAACCTATAAATAAACACTGTTAGCTTTAATTTAGTCTATGTGGTAATATGTTGCATTACTGTGCCATTCCACATTAACAACTCAAAATTCCTGAAAATAGAATGATGTTATGGTGCATAGAGTACTATATAAATATTTGTAGACCTGCAGCTAAACCCATATGCGCATTTTAGCCAAGTTAAACATATTTTAAATCTTACTGTTTTCAAGGAGATAGGTATAAGCAACATCTCTTTATCTTTTCCACAACAAATAAATGACCTCATAAAAAAATAACTTTGCCTGGATATTAATATGTATTGGTTTATCACATTTGTACCTCATAACTTCTATTAAAGAACGGAGTTCTAGAATGAGATACTAGTAAAACAATCCAAATTTTTTAAAAAGTATAACTAAAAACTTATTTCATACACCATTATTTCATACACCTGATAAAGCAAATAGCATATTGTTCATTTTTCTTTCTGTTGATTAATTATGCTGAATAAATGCTATAAACATATTTACAAAAAACACTGAGACCAAAAACCTGAATAAAAATATATATGCCTGCCTGAAGGACAGTGAAGAAGAAATTAGTCTGATATGCCTTACTAATAAATTCCAAAACAGTCTGTGCATTTCACTAAACATGAAGAACTAAGAAATGGTCCTTCCTGTAGATATTAAAGGTTCTTTAAACTATGCCTAGAAACAAATTTGTAATTGATGGAGATACATTATGAAGAGTTTGCATATTTTTATACCCATTTCTAGTCAAAAGCTTGACAGAAAAAGTATCTGAACATTTTTCAAAGAAAACTGCATAAGGCTTACAATATAGGCAAGGTAACTATCACCATGACTAGATCTGAGATTGAGATCTTGTGGATTCAGATGAGGAGTAGTCCTGCATAGTTTGCATCCTTTGTTCCCAAAATACTTTTTATTGTCTTCTATTTGAATGAAGGTTTTTTTTTTCATACTGAATGCATGTAAGTATACTGCATGTACTTCCTAGTTGGTGGGCAACTATATGTTAGCTTGCAAAATAGTCTCCAGATTACAAATCCTACCTTGCTTGGAATAGCATGAGTTTGTAATGAGCTGGGCTTTGGGTACATTTGTGATATGCTGGCCAAAATGTACTAAAACTGACTGGTATTGACATTACTGTTAGCAGAGAATGCTGCATGGGCATGAATACAGTTGATAACCTAGACTACACTTTTTATATCTTAGTAAAAAGCATTAGCCTTAATTGACCAAAGACATGATGGGTAACTGACATATTATAAATGTATATGGGCCCATCTGGTGAATGACTATGGCATATGACATGGCATGTAAGACAAGTAAATAGTAACAAACATGAATTGCAGCATGTCAATATAACTAAGTGAAAGGGAAAGAATATAATAGATTAGAATAAAGGTTCTTTGATCTTGTGGAATGGAGCTGAAGACTATATGCAGGGAAGTGAAGCTGTAGATTTAATTAAAAATGTAAGGATTAAAATACATGTCAGAAAATATAAAATGGTGTCATTTAGGTTGTTGTGGATATAAACACTCAAACATACGAAAGTAGATATCCATAGTTGGTGAAAATTACACTCCGGTGAATGGTGGTAATAGAGGAAACAGATTTGAGTTTGGTTAAAAATTATGCAATATTCTGAATGAATGAGAGACAGGGAAAAAAAAGTGTTCTGCTAAGTGACTTGAAACAAAGGTGAGAATGAAATGAAACAGTACCAAAAAAAATATTGGGTCATTTGGAGAACCCACAAATGAATGAAAGTGGCGACTGGTGAATATCTGCTTAGAAAAAAAGAATTTGTTTTGAATATGTAGTTTAAGCATAGTCTGTCATGTGACTATTCATTGGGCACATGGCAAATTAATGGAAAGTGCAGTTCAGCTTTATGCCCCATGGGGAAGTGAAAATTTTTTAACTTTAGCAGGTCCTTATGCTGGTATGAATGTGAGAAAGTTTATGGTAAATTTATTGATTTAGAAAAAGAATATGGTAAAGTGAATTGACCTGAATTATGGAATGCTTTAAGGTTGGTTGCTTAATGGGAGAAGCAGTACATGATGGACATAGCACATGCATGAGAATAAATGGAATGCTTAGCACATGGTTTAACAGTCAGCAGGGAATACGAAAAGAAGGTCTGATGTCCCCTAAGTAATATGAATGCATAACAAATGCTTCTGGTGTTTTTAGAGATGTGCTGGTTGGAATGTGAACATACATGTAGTTTTATATGCTGATAACTCCATAACCTAAATTATGGCAGTAAATGCTTGCTAATCTGTATAATCTTTAAGCACAGACTAAACCATGTATTATATTTTTGAAAAGTAAATTTAATCAGGAGAGCCAGTCTGGTGTAGTGATTTAAGACACCATGCTAGACACCAAGAGAGTTTAAGTCCTAGTCCTCCCTTAGGCATGAACCCAGACTTTGGGCCAGTTACTGTCTCTCAGCCCTAAGAAGAAGGCAGCTTCTGAAAAATATTCTTGGGCTTGTCCAGACAGTTGCCAGGAATTGATGCATGATGATGACGATGACGATGACGATGATGATGATGATCATCACCACCACCACCACCACCACCACCACCACCACCATCATCATCACCATCACCATCACCCATTTCTTTTTGATGTACAGTAAATGCAGTTGCAGAGCATCTAATGTGAACTGGAATCTTGTATAAGTATTGTATTGAAATTGGATAGTACCATCTCCCCAATTTCATCTGAAGAGCATCTTAGATCAATGTCAGCCAGAATGGAGACAATTTTCAGCAAGAGATTTGCAGAGAACTGCAAAGAAGCTATTTAGGTTCAGATCCTGCAACTTTCTTTTTTCCCTTCAGTTTAAGCACACATGGTTTTCTTTTTTAAAAAAGAGTAATGTCTAATATAAACTTCTGTTGGCCTAAGAGATAGAAGGCCAGTCATAAAATTAATATTCTGTCAATCTACACCTCTCCTTTCTGAATCAGGCTATTGTTGAAACAGAAAACTGAGAATCTAGACAATTCCTAGATTCTTCAATAGTAATTCAGCACTAAGCATATATGGTTAATTTACACAGATCTCTAACTAGGTTATTATTATATCAACAGAGAACTACAATAGTTAAAATACAGCAATACAGTACCGATATCCATATACTTCTGAAAAGTTGTCTGCTTCTCCTTTAGCCAGTGTTAAATATTCTTTGGGATTTTCTAGCTGCATATCTGAGCAATAAATCTACAAACAAAGATGGGAACAATTTTGGATTATTTTTCGATGGGATGGCTTTAATTTTAGATTCTTTCCACCCAGAAAAAGGCAATATCATACCTTTATTATTTTTCCCTTTACATTAAGCATATATTCACCATCCTTTTGGATTTTTTTTCTAATCTGGATTTCTTTGCAGCTGGTTGTTGTCTCACCTAAAAATAAGATGCAGGTAAGTCATTTTCAGGAATGAAATATTCTCTTAGAATAGATTTTTGGGTCTCAGTTGGCAAAATTTGCCAAAATTAATTCCACCAAGACACAGACTACATCTCTGAATGGAAAACGATGCCATTCATTCACCTCCAATGTAAAGCCTACATAAGATATCATTTATTTATGACAGGGGGATCATAAAAAGAATGTCGATTTCTGAAAGTTGCATAAAACCACATACTTTTTATAAGTGCGTGTTTTAAGATAATTAGGTATAAAACAAGAGTTTACATTATGGAAATTCAGGTTCAGAAACTTGCATTAGAAATAGTTTATTTAAAAGGTCAATGAAATTCTATAAAGAAGTTTCTTACAAATGCTTATACTAAAAATTACATGTAATATGGAAGATGGCATGCAAGTGTATATATGATAGAGAAAACAGTAAATAAAAAAGATGTTAGTCTTTTATAATGGAGCAGATTTACGCTGCATATTCATTCCAGTCCAACAATTACTTACAGTCTTTCACATGACATAATTTTCTAGCCACAGGTTTTAAATGGGACAAACACAAGTCACTGGATGAACCATTTTCCATCAGACACTGGACGTTTCTTTCTGTTGTCCCTGTTCCACAAAGCACTGAGCACTAAATAAAAATCACAGACTGAATTGAAAAGACCATAAAACAAATAATAGTCTCTGGCTATTATTACTTTACAAACAAAGGCACCTCACTTGGTTACACTCACCTTACTCCATTTCCCCACTTTCCAAGTTGCAGCATGGAGACAAGTCCTGATGTTGCATTCGTTAACCGATGATGATTGCACCACTGGGCAGCTTGAGTAAGTTGCTGATCGAAGGCCATGAGCATGTCTGTTCCAGGCATCATCAGCTTTAATACAGTATGTGATTGTCTGATGGAACTGAAGATAACAACCTGCTGGACACTAACATGATAAATGAATGTTACACAAGGCACATAAGCACTATTTGTATGATAATTTATAATCTCATCCTATGTATATTTATTTGGAAATAGCTCCCACTTTTAAGGGACTTAATCCCCCTGAGGAGGCATAGGGTTGCAGCCACATTCTACATAGTTGTGAAATATTCTCAGAAAGGTGCTGGGGATCTTGATGGGGGAACCCTATGTTTTGTTCATTTGTTTTACAGAGATATGCCACAATTTGTTGTCTGAAATGAAGATCAAAATAGTACCCTGCAAGCCATGAACAGAAATGGATGATTCGGCCTTTATATCTTGGGACTATGATCTTCACCATGTCTAAGGAAGCAGATTTTTTTGACATGAAAAGGTAAACTGATCTATTCTCCAGAAGTCGAGCGGAAATTACTGTTGTGAGGCAACTCACAAGGATAGCATTTTCTGTGCTAAAACTAATTGAATTGAAACAGGTTGAGAAGTTCAAGTCTTTGAAATGTTGGGGGGAAAGATGGAAATACTGTATATCTGCTATATTCAAGCAGTAAAAATAGACCTGCTCATAACCTGACACTTTACCTGTGAGACATCAACTGTCATTACAAGATATTTGCAGGACGCCATTCTGCATTTTTTGCTGGATGGAGGTTTGGTTGCAAGATCACACAGCATTTCATTCACTTGGTTCTTATTTTCATCCACACACTTCACTTTCCGGTGTATTTCCTTTTTCTGACATGAACACTGAGATGACAAGAACAAATTTAATCTTTTCCTATAAGGAAGAAAGTCCACATTTCTGAAATGATGGCTTTGGATTTGCTTTTGCCTTTTCTAAGGCAAACAAACTTAATAAGTTTGGCTTGATAACTGGAACTATTCATACTTTTTACAAGGACATTATTAAAAGAGATTAAAATTGCCATGGAATTACAAGTTTCAATTGGAATATGAGATGATTGATCCAGAACACAATAATGCTTTGAATTTCCAGGGTGTAAGTCATATGTTTTATATTTTCTGGTGGAGACTTGAATCAGTAATTTGGTTGTTTCTTCACCAAGGAATTCAATGCATCTGTAGCCCAGGCACAAGAAAACAAGGAGGTCAAATCAAACAAACTTTGGCCCTTATGTAATAAAGCTTATCAGAGGTTTTAAGGAAAACCCAACCTAGCAAATAGCAGTTCTTTATGTAACTACAGTATAGTTGATTGCTTAGTATTGAAAACGTCTACTATGAAAACTTTTTTTAATAGTATAGGTACATTTGTATTTGTAGCTGTAGCTGCAGATAATTTTAAATGACTTAATCATCGCAACCTGACATACTTACTTCTAGCCATTCATTAGGCAACCATCGGTACTGGGCACACTCGGCCTGCCTGCAGAGCCTTTTATTAGACGGTTGAGTGAGGTGACCACACATCATTTTATTAACTCGGCCGCTGCCTCTAATGTTACAGAAAACATCCCGATGCTGTACACCTTCTCCACAGCTCACAGAACACTAGAGAAAACAAAAATAAGAACAACATCTGCATTCAGGGACACAGTCACACGTACACAAATACAAAACATGAGAAACAGAGTGTCAGGAGGCTTCAGAAATCATCAGATGTACCTAGGAACAAGTATCGCTGGACTGAATGTGGCATACTTTGGAAACAATTGCAATGTATTTGATAATATTAACACAGCTGTAGCTGATATGAATACAGTTTAATAAGAAGGCTGGGTGAACATGGTGTTTTTTTCCAACGTGGCAAACCTATAACTGGGCAGTTAAGATCTGCTTCTGTCAGGTATATTTACCTGAATTTTTGTCAGGTAAAATAGTGGCCAAGGAGATTTCACTGTTATTGGACTTTTCAGGAGACTTAGAAATTTGGCTTTTAATAAGCTTTTCCTGTCCTTGTGAAAGAGCATGTCTAGTAATATTCTCATTACTAAAAACTTCCAGACTTCAAAAGTAACTAAATAGTATTTAATATTATTCCTTATGATTTTTTTTAAGCCAGGTCCTCCCTTGTAGCTTTTTAATGTAATTCTAATGTAATTTAATGTAAATTGTCCATGGTACATTTCTTAAAATATGTATCTTCTAAAAATACTAAATATCTATTCAGATATATTCAACCAGGTCATCTACAACCAGCATGATTTCACTGATTACAATGTCTTCTTGATTTCAATAGAGGAGTTTCAGTACAATACTACACTATGATTTTTTTTCTTCAGTCAGGCTCTATCTGTAAGTACATATATCATTTTGTATTGAAATTAATAGGGGGTAATCTTTTGAACCAAGAAAAATCAGAACAATCTAACATAGCATTACAAAAGATAAGCAGGTATGAATCTAATCAGCAATGTGGATGGAAGATCAGCTGAGGACCAATGTGAGAACAGTGCATAAACACAGAACAGAGCATACATATAAAGATTAAATTGTGATTTCTAAATGGGTGCCTAGACACCTTTTATTAAAATGCCCCCATTGTTACTTTGTCTGTCTGTATTGTCTATTCTACAATAGACTGGTCCACACCATCTACAACAGTGGGATTTTTGCACATCCTGTTAAAAAAAAAAGACAATTATACTGCAGAAACCATAGCATGACATGAAAGCAGGACAGAAATACCTCATTCCACCTGTTAGTCTTCCATTCTGGGCATCTGATAGTTCTGCAAGCTTTGTGAGTTCGAGGCTTCCTTAAATGTTTGCAAGTATTCTCCCCTAGTTTAATTTGGAAGTTGTTAATGCAATAGATTTCGCGTTCCTTTAAACCCTTCCCACAGGACACAGAGCACTGTAAAGTAAGCACATCAAAAATATGAATCATAACAAACATATTTTAATATTTTGATTCTAATTTCATTTTATAGCAATCATTTAACTGATTCTCAATGTTAGTGTTCAGTAAATATTGCTCTACTAGATCAATTCCATTTAGGTTTCATCCTACAAATACTTACCAGGAAATAGATTCTAGTGAACATAATGGGACTTATTTCTAAATAAACATACAAGGATAATATTGTTAATGTGTTTCCAGCTGTAGCCACCAGAGAATTCTACATGTGCCTTTTTTTTTTCCTTTTTCAATCCCCAAGATTACAATCCACAGTCCATTTTTCTCCACAACTAATAGTTATCAATAGATCTATCTTCATCTATTCTTAGGTGTTAATAGCCATTTGCTTAGCTGCGGTTGCTAAAATTGAGGCTCTAAAGTCATATACAGCCCCTCAAAAGTCTTGAATGTAGACCTGAGTATAGACAACAGCTGCTACTGAATTGCATTTGTTGGTATAGCAGAAGGGTAAAATATATAAATATATGACCAGTGAATAATCATATTAAATCCAGTTCACTTTAATTAAATATAATTAATTTGTATCATATAATGCAACCCTTTTCTGGCCCCCAACTGGCTTTTGCAGTGGGTTCTCCCCCAAAGATCAGTGTGGCCTTTGGGCTCAGGAAAAGTTGTATGTTAGCTGTTACTAAACACTGTGTAAAAATGTTTTTCCCAACTGTTACTTGTATATATGCTAACCAGGGATTCTTAACCTTTTTGTGTCATGAACCCCTTTGAGAGTCTGATGAAACCTACAGACCTCCTTCTCAGACAAAAATATTTAAATGAATAGAATAAATAAAATACATATAGATTATATTACCAAGGAAACCAATTATGCTCAAGTACAGTTATCAAAACATTAAATAAGGAATATGTAATATACTAATATACTAATATACTATCTCTTTATTAACCAATCAAATAAATAACAAGACAAGCTAAATTTCAGCTAGAAGTTGCAATTTTTTCTATCCAAGTTCTATCCAGACCCCCTGAAATCTATTCATAGACCCTGCATTACAAATCACTCTGCTGGACAATAACTCCATGCTGATTGGGAATTACCATAGTTGTATTTTAATCATTTGGGGAAATTACTTCATAGATATTGTCCTGCCAAATGGTATGGATTTTTTTCCCCTTTTACTAGAGTTATATACCTAAGCTAGGGAGATAAGAGAATACTAAATTTTTCCTGGCAGACGATTGTTTCTGCCCACTTTAAAGTGGCCAGATATTTATTTTTTTTATAAGAACTTTATTAAATTATAAAAAGCATAAAGATGAAAGCAAACAAAAACTAATAACCAGAGAGAGAAATAGAGAACGAGAGAGATAGAAATAAAGACTACAAAAGTGATGAAAAGGAAAGAAAGGAAAAATTACCAAAAGAATGACTTCTGACTTCTTACACAGCAGATATAAATCATGTAGTGACCTCTTACTCTAAAACTATATCTTAATATACATATTTTGTATAACTTATTATTTTAACTAATCATCAAATCCATAAATCATAATTTCATTTTTTTCTGTCTCCTGCAAAAAGTGCAAAAGGGGCT